CTATGATATGGGATGTGTAGTTTCACAAGGGTTCCATGTTGCAGGATTTGTCATTTCATAGGGTCTTCACTGTAGGATGAATGCTCTTTGATCCCACTTCCACTGCCATGGCTCAGTACTATAGAATTGTGGGACCTGTAGTTTGCTTCACCCTTTGGCAGAGGAGGCTACATGATCTTGTAAAACTACAACTCCCATCAGTTCAGAGTATTGCATCATGGCTGTTAAGAGACTTGGGTGCACTGGCGCTGAAGAATGAATGCAAATTGAGCTGTGGCTCAAGGCTAGGGAACCCTGGGAGTTGTAGTTTCTCAAGATCTTTGGACTTGTTTGCCATGGCAATTCAAGTGGTGCAGAATCGCATTAATTCTACAATGTAGATCCACACTGCCTGCCTTCCTGCCTGCTTTTGACCCCATCGAACCCTTCATCTCTTCATCCCATTGTTTCGGGTGGGAGTGTCTCTCTGGAAGCATGGATTGATTAATGCATGAATTTAAATATTAATATCCTGCCCTGTGTCTCAGGGTGAAACAATTTAAATAATTGAAAATTGAAAACGATCAATAATTTATCTGGGCTGCAAACCTCTTAAACTGTTTTTAATGCTTTAAAGATGGAGAAGGGGAGGGTGCAGTGTGGGCTTGGAATGAATTTAGTGCAAAAAATTAAAATAATTCCTGGAAGTTTTGCAAGAATCTGGAGCAGCTTTCAAATAACTAGTGATTTTTTAGAAATCCCCCTTAAAAGAAATGACAAATAAATGACAAAGAAATGATAAATAAATAAATATTTATTTATTTATTTTGTATCGCAAGCATTGCATATATTAGCATAAAACTGATAAAAATAGAAGTCGTGCAGGCGGCTAAATATCTTTTGACCAAAGATATTGTCTGTAGCCTCCAACAATTCTTCCTCTGTACATGAGTCAGGGCATAGTGGACAAGCATACAGATGCGGAGTGGTCTGTTCTGCTCCACAGTCACACAAGGTGTGGGATTCTTTTAGGTAGTGCCATTTTGCCAGGTTGCCTTTTGATCTGCCCACTCCACTTCTGAGTCTGTTCAGGGACTTCCAAGTTGTCCATTCTTGGTTTGCCCCTGGAGGAAGACCCTCATGGGGGGCCATCCAGTTGGGATTTCCTGGTTTAGCTGCCCAGAGGGATACCCTTATTGTTGCTGGGGGGATACCAAGAGGAGTGGCAGTTCTCATAAAGCTTTTCTTTGATTTGAGTCTACTGGGAGGAGGCTGGTAACCATGTAGTGGGTGGCTTGCACAGTGTTCAACCTTATTTCTCTCACATTTTGCAGCAACTTCCCGTCGCACATCGGTGGGCGGGGGGGGGGGGGGGGGGGGGGGGGGGGGGCAGGGGGCAAGGCCAGCTAGCTTGTAGAATTTATCAACAGATGTAGGTTTAAGACATCCTGTGATTATTCTGCATGTTTCATTCAATGCTATGTTCACCTGCTTTGCATGGGCAGACTTATGCCAAACAGGGCAGTTGAGTAAGACAAAGCTAGGGCTGATGTTCTTATTAATTTTGGGTCTGCACCCCATGTGCTGCCAGTAAGTTTCCACAGGATGTTATTGCGTGCAGCTACTTTGTGCTTGGTGTTCAAGTAGTGTCTCCTATATCCTAATGTTCGATCTAAGGTGACACCGAGATATTTAGGATGGAAACAATGTTCAAGCTCTTGACCTTCCCAGGTGACTTTCAATTTCCTGTTGGCTTCACGGTTGTGTAGGTGGAAAGCACACACTTGTGTCTTGGTAGGGTTAGGCTTCAGGTGGTTATCTTTGAGGTAGCTGAAGAGGTAATGTTAATGTTGCCCTCAAATATTACCCCCCCCCCCCCCAATCCTTTATTCGTCGTAAAACGAAACAAAACAAAAGCCTTCACAAGCTGAGGCTTAATCCAGACAAGACAGAGATCCTCCTGGTCAGTCGCGAGGCCAATTGGGATATCGGGTGGCAACCTGTGTTCAACTCCCCCTGAGGACACAGGTTCGCAGTCTAGGGGTCCTCCTGAACTCAGTGCTGATACTTGAAGCACAGGTGTTGGCAGTGGCCGGGACGGCCTTTGCACAGTTAAAACTTGTGTGCCAGCTGTGACCGGACTTGGCCACGGTGGTCCATGCCTTAGTTACATCAAGATTGGATTACTGTAATGCACTCTATGTGGGGCTGCCTTTAAAGATTGCTCAGAAATTGCAATTGGTCCAAAGATCAGCAGCCAGGCTACTCACTGGATCCAGCTATAGGAAGCACGCGATGGCCTACTAAAGCAGCTCCATTGTGTGGCGTAATGTAAAATAAACAATGTAGTTCAGTCTACACACTGTCATGCCAGAGAAAGAAAATATGCCATGCAGATGATCAATGAAGAAAAAAATAGTTTACTTTTCGTAATTCAGAACAACATATTTACAATCATGTGATCAGTTGCATCGACTCACATAATATCCTTTTAAAGAGATTTAAAATGGCTTTTCTTTGTCTGTGTGGAAAATCTTCCTCCGGCAGCTCATGAAGCAAGAGCACACTTCAAATTGTCTCTTTCTGATTCTCTGCAAGTACCTGCATAGCTCGAGTCTGAAAAATGTAACAGTAGGCAAAAGTCCCAGGCTCAGCTAGCTCCCCAGCCAATCAGCTTAGTGCTTCTTATTTTACAGCTGACACACACACACACACACACACTAACTGATTTCTTACATGCTCCAACACATTGGCTGCTGATAAGTTTCTGGTCCCAATTCAAAGTGCTAGTTATCACCCCAAACAGCTTGGGTCCAGCCTATCTTCGTGACCGCATCACCCCTATGAACCGACACGGGCTCTATCATCTGCAGAGAGAGCCCCCTCCTCTTGGGCCCACCTCTGTCACAAGCGTGGTTGGTGGGGACGAGGGAGAGGGCCTTCTCGGTGGTGGCCCCCCAGCTTTAAAACTCCCTTCCCAGGGAGATTAAGACAGGCCCCCACATTGTCCTCCTTTCATAGGGACTTGAAGACATGGCTCTTCAATCAAGCATTTGAGAATATCTAGCTCCTAGTTGTCCTATGTAGTAGTCACACATCCTGCACTTTATCCCATGCCCTCTCTCCATTACTGCAGCTGGCACTTATTTTACTCCAGTGTTTACAACCTGGCCATGGTGCCAGTAATTTACACAAATTTTGTATTTTGCCTGTTTGTTTGCTTTGTTCTGTTAGAAATGTAATATAATTGACTGGTTTCCCTGACACGACAAATAAATACCGCCACGGTTAGAGGATCACAGCTTGATTGAGTCTGAATTGGCGATTGAGCATAGTCTACTCCATTGAGTCTGAATTGATGTTTTAATATGTGCAGGTGTTTTATTCTATTGTATCTTATATTGTGTTCACTTTTATATTTGTTTTTAGGCACTTTGTGACGTCTGTGAGCCGACCCAAGTCCCTTCGGGGAGATGGTGGCGGGATATAATAAAGTTGTTATTGTTATTATTATTATTGCTTCCAGTCTTTATCCTTCTTTCTCTCATTACTTTCATTTATTTTTTCCTTCCTTTCCTTCTGCTCTTCCTGTCTTCTCTCCTGTTGCCTTTCTTCCTCCATCCCTTGTGCCCTTTTCTTCCTTCACTTCTTTTCCTTCCTTCCCTTCTTCCCTGCCTTCTCTTTCTGCCCTCCTTCCTTTTTCCTTTCCTTCCGTCTCTTTTCCTTCCTTCCTTGTTTTCTTTCCTTTTCTTCTTGCATGCCTTTTTTTCTCCTTTCCCTCCTTCTTTCTCTCACCTCCTTTTTATTTCCTTTCCTGCCTTCCTCTTATCACATTTTCCTTCTCCCTTGTTCCCTTCTTTTTCCTACCTTCTTTCTTGCTTTCTTTTTCTTCTCTTCCCTTGCCTTTCTTCCTCTCTCCCTTGTGTCTCCCTTTCCTTCTTTTCCTTTCTTCCCTTCTTCCCTGCTTTCTTTTCCTGCCCTCCTTCCTTTCCTTCTCTTTTCCTTCTTTCTCTCCTTTCCTTCCCCTCCTTTTCCTTTCCTGCGTTCCTCCTATCTCTTTTTCCTTCTCCCTTGTTCCCTTTCCTTCCATCTTTTTCCTACCTTCTTTCTTGCCTTCTTTTTCTTCTCCTCCCTTGATTTTCTTCCTCCCTCTCTTGTGCTCTTTCCTTCCTTCCCTTCTTCCCTGTCTTCTCTTCCTGCCCTCCTTCCTTTCCTTCCTTCTCTTCTTCTTCTCTACTTCCTTTCCTTCTTTCTTGCCTTCTTTTTCTCCTTTCCCTCCTCCTTTCCCTCCCCTTTTTTTCTTTCCTTTCCTGGCTTCCTCTTATCACTTTTCCTTCTCCCTTGTTCCCTTTCTTCCCTTCTTTTTCCTACCTTCTTTCTTGCTTTCTTTTTCTTCTCTTCCCTTGCTTTCTCCTTCCTCCCTTCTTTTCCTTCCTTTCCGTCTTTCTTGCCTTCTTTTTCTCCTTTCCTTCCCCTCCTTTTCCTTTCCTGCCTTCCTCTTATCTCTTTTTCCTTCTCCCTTGTTCCCTTTCCTTCTTTCTTTTTCCTAACTTCTTTCCTACCTTCTTTTTCTTCCCTCCTTCTTTTCTTTCTTTCCCTTCCTTCCCTGCCTTCTCTCCCTTCCCTCCTTCCTTCTCTTTCTCTTCCTTCCCTCTTTTTCTCCCCTTCCTCTCTTCTCTTCCTTCTCTTTCTCTTCTTTCCCTCTTTTTCCCCTCCCTTCCGTTCTTTCCTCCCTTCTTTTCCTTCCTTCCCTTCTCTCCCTTCCCTCCTTCCTTTTCTTTCTCTTTCTTCCCTCTTTTTTCCCCTTCCTCTCTTCTCTTCTCTTCTCTTCTCTTCTCTTCTCTTCTCTTCTCTCCTTCTCTTCTCTTCTCTTCTCTTCTCTTCTCTTCTCTTCCATGTCTTCCTCCCTTCCCTCCTTTCGGCTTTACCTCCCAAGGAGCGCCTGCCAACCTTGTCCCTGGGGCGCCCCTTCCGGCAGCGAGGCGCCACTGCACCCTGGCTTCTCCTCCTCGTCCTCCTCCTCCGGGGCGGGGCTGAGGAGCAAGAGGTTGTCTCTCTCTCTCCCTCCCTCTCGGTCTCTCTCTCTCTTTCTTTCTTTCTTTCTCTCTCTCTCTCCCTGGGTCGCGATGCCTCCGGGGGGTCCGGGGCCCTTGGGGGGCCACTGCACTTCCTCCTCCTCCTCCCAGTGATCCCCTGCCAAGCCATGTCCCGCAAGAAGAGCCCCAAAGGCAAGGGGTCCTCCTCCTCTTCCTCCTCCTCTTCCTCCTCTTCCGCAGCCCCTTCCTCTTCCCTGCCGGAGCCCCCAGGAGCCAAAGGGGCCCCTCCTGCTACAGCCCCACCGAAGCCCTCCAACGGGGGGCCCCTCGGCAGACCCTCCCTCAGCAACAGCGGGGAGTTCTATGACCTCGCCTTCAAGGTAGTCATTCATTGGGGTTTGTTTATATTATTGGGGGGGGGGGGCTAGCATTGCAACTGATGGATAGCAGACCATTGCAACCAGTGCAAGGCTGGTTCTCTGGGCATAAGCAGAGTGCCATAAAGCTCCTCTTTTTAATGGGGGGGGGGACTTATTGGGGGAAATTGCATTGCAACTGATAGATAATATAGACTGCAAACAAGGGGTCCTCTGAGCATAAACAGAGTGCCATAAGGCACCTCTTTTTAATAGGGGGGGGGGGTACCTTATTGGGGGAAATTGTGCGAACCCAGCTATCATAGTATCACTGAAATTGCATTGCAACTGATGGATATCAGACCCTTGCAACCAGTGCAAGTCTTTGCATGCATATCTATCTATTGCAAACAAGGGGTCCTCTGGGCATAAGCAGAGTGCCATAAGGCTCCTCTTTATAATTGGGGGGGGGAGGTAACCTTATTGGGGAAGTTGCATTGCAGCGGATATCAGACCCTTGCAACCAGTGTAAGGCTTTGCATGTATGCATGCATATATATATTGCAAACAAGGGGTCTTCTGGGCATAAGCAGAGTGCCATAAGGCTTCTCTTTTTAATGAAGGGGGGCACTTTACTGGGGGAAATTGCATTGCAACTGAAGGATATCAGACCCCTGCGAACAGTACAAGGCTTTACATGCATGTATATATTGCAAACAAGGGATCCTCTGGGCATAAGCAGAGTGCCATAAGCCTCCTCTTTATAATGGGGGGTACCTTATTGGGGGAATTGCATTACAACTGATGGATATCAGACCCCTTCAACCAGTGCAAGGCTTTGCATGCATGCATGCATATATGAAGCAATATATATATATAGAGAGAGAGAGAAAAGAAGGGGTCCTCTGGGCATAAGCAGAGTTCCATTTTAATGGGGGGGGTTACCTTATGGTGGGAAATTGCATTGCAACTGATGGATATATTGGAAACAGGAGGTTATCAGAGCATAAGTAAGCGAGCCATAGGGCTCTCTTTTTAACCTTTTTTTGGGGAAATTGCATTGCAACTGATGGATTTCAGACCCCTGCAACCATCAAACAAGGGGTCCTCTGGGCATAAGCAGAGTGCCTTTAAATGAGGGGCACCTTCTTGTGGGAAATTGCATTGCAAATTATGGGTATATTGCAAACAAGAGGTCCTCTGAGCGTAAGTAGAGTGCCATAGGACTCGCTTTTTAATGGGAGGGGATACCCCAAATCTTATTGAGGGAAATTGCATTGCAACTGATGGATATCAGACCCCTGTGACCAATCAAGGCTTTGCATACGTATGTATGTATGTATGTATGCACATACACACACACACAAAAATAAGGTCCTCTGAGCATAAGCAGAGTGCCAATAGGACTCACTTTTAAATGGGGAGGGGGGTTCTTAGGCTGAGTGTAAAATTTGGCTCTAGGATTCAAAAGCAGGTGTCTGGCATTAATTAATTATTAGCATCACAGTGGATCTTGGGGGGGGGGGCATAAATAGAGGGCATGTTGTCTGCTCCCCAAATTAAGAATCTTGCGCCCCCATGACATTTCCCTCCAGCCTCCCCCAATTTTTATCATTATATGAACCAACAGGAAGGCATTGTTTGTGTGTCTGAATTGCGTCCCTAAAAGCAAGCACTGTGCTAAATTATAATATAATATAATATTATTTGCTCTATCTGTTATATTGGAGATTCTGTGTATGTATATACAGTAGATATTTATATTTATTAAGCTGGTTCTATCATATATAGATATATACATATATGATACAAATACATATCTACACATCTTAAGCTTGCTTTATCTGTTACATTGGAGGCTGTGTGACTATATGTGTGTGTATGAATGTATGTGTATGTGTATATATTATATTTGTTGTCTGTATATGTATGTGTGTGTATATATGTTCTCTGTTATATATATATATAGAGAGAGAGAGAGAGAGACCTTGCTCTATCTGTTATGATGTAATTATATACATAATTACACACACACACATATATATATAAATAAAGCTTGTTCCGTCTCTGCGTATGTATATATTCATACATATAATATATATACATACATATGTATATCTACACATGCTATATATGTATATATATATATAACATACACAATGCATATGTTTATATATATATACACATATATAAAGCTTGTTTTTTGTGTTATGTTGTGGGTGGTGTGTGTATATATATATATATGTATGGATAGAAGGTGTATATATATATATATACATACACACACATACATACATATGTATGTATGTATAAAGCTTGCTCTATCCATTAATTGGAGGCTGCGTGCATATATAGATATATAGATATACTGTATACATGTTTATATACATTAAGTTTGTTCTGCCTATTATGTTGGAAGCTGACTATATAAACTTATGACTGTCTGTATAAAACTTGCTCTATCAACTTATATATAATGTATCTGTATTGATGGATGTAGACAGGCTATATATATATAGTGTGTATGCACCTATATATAGTGTATTTATATATTTATAGATTGATATAGATAGGCTGTGTGCGTATATAGTGTATATACTTATATTCAGTGTAACTATATTTATAGACATAAATGTGTATGTATTAAATGTGTGTATACTTATATGTAGGGTAACTTATATATTTATTGATAATAATAATAATAATAATAATAATAATAATAATAAAACTTCATTTATATCCTTCCCTATCTCCCTGTAGTGACTAGATATAGATAGACTATTTTTGTATATATAATGTGTGTATACTTATATATAGTGTGTGAATATATATATATATATATGGGTGTTTATTTATAGATAGATATAGACTATGTGTGTGTATATATATATATAGTTTGTGTATACTTATATATAGTATATCTATAAATTTATAGTTATATGTATGTATATATACTTATATATAGTATAGCTATATATTTATGGGTAGATATAGACAGGCTATGTGTAGTGTAAGTATACTTATATACACTGTATCTATATATGTTTAGAAATATATACCTGGCTCTGTGTATATACCTGTGTGTGTGTGTGTTTGTGTGTGTGTATATATATATATAGAGAGAGAGAGAGAGAGTATGTATGTGTATACTTATATGTAGTCTATAATAAACTATAAGATAATTCTGACAAATAAGGCATCAAATGCACAGCCGGCATCTGTTCATCCACAGTGGCATCTGCTCCGCAATGTATTGCCTCCCGAAATAAACACCAAATTTTGTTTTCGAGGAAAGCATTTGTTTGTTGTGATGGCAGATTATTTTTGTTTACAAGGAGTTTGGAAAGAAGTTTCCCATCATCACACTCTCTCAGCCTCAAAGGAGGGCAAAGGCAAATGGCCTGCTACTCTGCAGTCCTAGGTTTGGATCCCTGCTTGGCTATAGAAACCCATTGGGAGAGTCACACAATCTCAGCTTCAATGGGGCAGACCTCCTTTGAATGACTCGCATCATTTAGTGGCTTGAGCGTTGGATTCTGACTCTGTTCCTGTGTCTGGGAACCCCATTGGGACACACACCCTGCAACAACAACAACAGCAACAACAACAACAATCATTGTTGTGTGTCAGGAGGGATTGGAGAGTGGCAGAATGTGAGTTGGTCTGGATGGCCCACTGTGGGCATCTCTTCCAACTCTAGGATTTTATGTTGTTGTTGTTGTTGTTGTTGTTGTTGTTGTTGTTGTTGTTGTTGTTATTGAGTAGAAACTGGTGGCCATCTGTCAGGAAGGATTCGATGGGGAGCTTCTATTATTATTATTATTATTATTATTATTATTATTATTATTATTATTGAGTAGAGGCTGGCTGGCTATCTGCCGGGAAGGATGTGATGGGGACCTTCTATTATTATTATTATTATTATTATTATTATTATTATTATTATTATTATTATTGCTATTATTACTATTACTATTTTTGAGTAGAGGCTGGCTGGCCATCTGGCAGGAAGGATTGTTGAGGACCTTCTATAATAATAATAATAATAATAATAATAGTAATAGTAATAGTAATAGTAATAATAATAATTTGAAAAACAACAAGATTAGTACACAGCAAACAAGATCACTATGCTAACTGTTGTATTGGATATTATTATTATGATTATTATTCTTGAGTAGAGGCTGGCTGGCCATCTTTCGGGAAGGATTTGATGGGGACCTTCTATTATTATTATTGAGTAGAGGCTAGCTGGTCATATGCTGGGAAGGATTTGATGGCGACCTTCTATTATTATTATTATTATTATTATTATTACTCTTGAGTAGAGGCCAACTGGTCATCTTCCAGGAACTTTCTATTATTTATATTGAGTAGGAGCTAGATGGTCATCTGTTGGGAAGGATCAGGTGTGCCTTTCTTCATTGAATGGGGATGGGCAGGGTAGCCTTTGGGGGACCCTTACATTGGGCTGGATGGCCTACAACTCCAGTATATTATTATTGTTATTCTTAGTATTGAGTGGAGGCTGGCTGGCCCTCTATGGCTTGAATGGGTCACACTCTCTCAGCCCAGCAATTCTCTCTAATGCTTCTCCTGCAGGTGATGCTGGTGGGAGACTCCGGTGTTGGCAAAACCTGCCTCTTGGTTCGGTTCAAGGACGGTGCTTTCCTGGCTGGGAGCTTCATCTCCACCGTCGGGATCGACTTCCGGGTGAGGAAACATGGGCTTTCCAGTCGTTTTGAATCCACACTTGATGTCTATTGCATTTCGATGTCTGTGGTGGAGGAAACAGATGAAATCTAGGATGAAATGGTCCCCGTATAAAAGCCTTCACTTGAGTGGTGGGCAGTCATGTGTTTGTGGAGGACCCTGACAAGGGTCTTGGACATGTTCACAGTGCTCGCTATGACCTGTAATGTCATTGGAGGAAGGACTTTTGGTGGCTCCTCATTGGTGGGAATCATAGCTGTTTGTGGAAGTGGGAGCCTGTCTGTGAAAGTGGGCACTCCGGCCACATACGTATTTTCACTTTTATTATGGATATAGAAGATTATGGATTTTAAATTGCGTTATTTTTCTTAATGTTGTGAGCCGCTTTGGGTTTCAATCAAGAGATTAAAAAAATGGGATTTCAAAATAACTACAACAGTAATTGAATACATTAATGCTATTGTTGAGTTGCTTCTTGGGATGAGAGGTGGAGCTTGCATGCTAGAAATACGTTTTTCGAAGCTTTCCTTTTTGGATATTGCATTGCATTTGCAATTTCTGTAATGAGATGGTTGAGAAAAGCATAACAACAACAACAACAACAACAACAACAGAATGTATTGACTCTATTGTTGAACTTTAGGGTGAGAGATGGCGCTTGCATGCTAGACATTTGTTTTTAAGAGCTTTCTTTCTGGGTTTTGCTCTGCATTTGCCATTTCTCTAATGAGACGGTTGAATGGAAATCATGTCGAAAGACTGGGAAGTAATGCATGCAACATTTGAGCCAATCTGCCTGTTGCAACATTTCCTCCATCCACATTGCCTGCAAAGGATGCATCTGCACTGCAGAACTAATGCAGTTTGATACCAATTTAGCTGCTGTGGCTCAAGGCTATGGAAAAATGGGAGTTGTAGTTTGCAGAGGCACCAGAAAAGGCCTTGCAAGGCTTTCAGTCTGGCCATTGAACTGGAGGACTTTGTATTTGCTAGAGAAGAGAGCACTTTCCTAGACATTTGTTGAAGGTTGACCACAGTGTTTGTTTTAAGAGAGAGGAAAACTCATTTACATATTATTATTATTATTTTACTGACACAAAAACACAGCATGTCACAGCAAATGAGATATATATGCTGGATTTATTATCACAAAATCCCAAGCTGAACACTTCCCAAGCATGTATTATTATTATTATTATTATTATTATTATTATTATTATTATTATATGTTTATTTTATTATTATCTATACTATTTTATGGGAGCTCCCGGTGGTGCAATGGGTTAAACCCTTGTTCTGGTAGGACTTGTTGACTGATAAGTCGGAGGTTCAAATCCAGGGAGAGCATGGATGAGCTCCCTCTGTCAGCTCCAGCTCCCCATGCAGACACATTCCACAAGGATGGTAAAACATCAAAACATTTGGGCATCCCCTGGGCCAATTCTCTCACACCAGAAGCTGATGGCCAATTCTCTCACACCAGAAGCGACTTGCAGTTCTCAAGTTGCTCCTGACACACACACACACAAAATATGTACTACTTCTACTAATGTGTGTATGATCAGTGGAGGCTGACCATAGTGTCCCCTTTAGGAGAGAGAAAATATCGTATGCAAATAATAATAATAATAGTCATTGTTAGTATTATTTCTATTATATTTATTTTGTAATTTTATTTACTACTAATAATAATATGTTTATGATCTGTGCTTAGTGGAAGTTGACCATAGTGTCTCTTTCAAGAGAGAAAAAATGGCATTATGCAAATAATAGTAATAATAATAGTTATTAATATTTTATTTATGTTATTTTTATAATTACTACTACTAATAATATGTATATGATCAGTGCTTGGTGGAGGTTGACCATATTGCTCTTTCAAGAGAGAAAAAAATGGCATTATGCAAATAATAATAGTAATAATAATAATAGTTATTATTTTATTTATGTTATTATTGTATTTACTACTAATAATAATATGTATATGATCAGCACTTGGAGGATGACCATAGTATCTCTTTGAAAAGGGAAAATTTGCATATACATATAATAATAATAGTTTTAATTTTAATTTTATTAATTGTATTACTTTTAATAATAATATATACATTATTATAATATTATAATATATTTATTTTATTATTTTATATTTTAAATTTTATTTTATAAATTATATCATATTACACCCTTATGTTTGAGGATTCCCCCAAGGCAGGAAGAAGCCAGGCTTTGAAGCTGCAAGGCCATTTAGTGCTATTCACGTTGTCCATTTGCAACATTCACACTTGCCTCCAACAGACAAGAGTTCGTTTCCCCATCCTGGACATTATTCCACAGGTATAGAAACCTCACTTGCCTAGTTTCCAGCATTGACTGCACAGCCTCTGAGGATGCCTGCCATAGATGCAGGTGAAATGTCAGGAGAGAATCTTTCTGGAATATGGCCATTCAGCCCAGAAAACTCATAGCAACCCATTATTATTATTATTATTATTATTATTGTAGTAATATTGATGTACTGGATGACCGAGAGACATTCCTCTGTCAATTTGGGGGGAAAAATGGCACATTTTTTCTTTGCATTCTCTCCACTTTTGCATGGATTCTGCAATGTCCCTCCTTCACTCTTAAATGTAAAAGCCCTGCTGCCTGTTGCTCATCATCTGAAGACTGAGCCATAAATTAGCTCAATGCAACAGGTCTTGCTTTGCTCCGAAGAACAAACGGCACGACCTTGTCATTTCCCCGTCATTCTGGAGGTGAGCCGATGGTGCAGAGTGTTCTTTTCCGCTCAGGAACATGACATTTCCCATTCAGAACAGCTTCTGTTTTATGCTAAAGAAGAAAGGAGAGGAAGAAAAGGGTCCTGCCTTTTGGTTTTCCCTCCCAGTCTCTCTCCGGAGGACTCCTTCTTGGAGGATATTTTATTGTTTTATTTCAATCAATAGTTAACATTTTATTTAATATTTAATATTTTACCCCTATGTTTGAGGATATTTTATGATTTTATTTAATATTTAATATATTTCAAAATTATGTATAAACATATATATAATATTTAATATTAAATTTAATATTAAATATATTATACTATATTTTACCATTATGCTTGAGGCTTATTTATTTAATATTTAATGTGTTATATTGTATTTTACCCTTATTAAATATCCATTATTTCATTTAATATTATAATATTTTACCCTTTTGTTATGTTTTATCCTTTTGTTGGAGGATATTCTACCATTTTATTTATTATGTTATTTAATATTTAATGTATTAAATTTTACCCTTATATTTGAGGATATTTTATTTAATCTTTAATATACTATATTTTAACCTCACGTATGAGGATATTTTATTATTTTATTTAATATTTAATATCTTGTTTAATATTCAATACATTTTACCCTCATGCTTGAGGATATTTGTTTTATTTCATATTTTATATTTTATCTAATATTTAATATATTTTACCCTTATGTTTGAGGCCATGTAATATTTTATTTAATATTGATATATATTATATATGTATTATTTAATATTAAATATTTAATTTATTTAGTATATTATATTTTACCCTTATATTTGAGGATATTTTATTATTTAATATTTAATAGACCATATTTTATGTTATCTTTATTTTATGTTAGTACTTGCTTGGATACCCGGCGTTGCCTGGGTTATTATAAAAAGCCATTTTTTAATTTTACAAAATGCATATGGTTGTGGGTCAACTACAACTCACATTACGCCAGGTTAACCCCCTGAAATATCAGTGGGTAAAGTTTGTCATGTTGGGCAAGTTTGCTCTCTAGATGCATCATTGGTGGGGTTCATGTGGTCTCTGAATATAGGATGAACTACAACTCCCACCATGGTGGGTCAGTCCCCTGAAACCCCTTCAGTAGGTTCAGTTGGTCATGGGGGTTCTGTGTGCCAAGTTTGGTCCAGATCCGTGATGGGTGGTAAGAGCAGTGTCTCAGGATGTAGGTGAACTACAACTCCCAGAAAGAAGATCAGTTCCCCCCAAACCCCTCCAGTATGTTCAGTTGATCATGGTAGTTCTGTGTGTCAAATTTGATCCAGATCCAGCGTTGGTGGGGTTCACAGTTTCTTTGGTTGTAGGTGAACTACAACTCCCAAAAATCAAGGTCAATCTCTCCTAAACCCCTTCAGTATTCAAATTTGGGTGTATTGGGTATGTGTGCTAAGTGTGGTCCAGATCCATCGTCGTTTGGGTTCACAAAGCTCTCTGGATGTAAGTGAACTACAACTCCCCCAAATCTAGGTGAATTCCCCCCAGAGCCTTCCAGTATCTTTTGTTAGTCGTGAGGGTTCTGTGTGCCAAGTTAGTTGCAGTTCCATCGTTGGTGGGCTTCAGAGTGCTCATTGATGGCAGGTGAACTATACATCCCAGTACATAAAACTCTATAAATCAAGGTCAGTCCCCCCCCCCCAACCCACAAAGTCCTCCAGTATGCTATGTTGGTTATGGGGGTTCTGTGTGCCAATTTTGGTGTAGATCCATTGTTGGTGGGGGTCACAGTGCTCTGTCTTGATGCAGGGTGAACTACAACTTCCATCATGTTGAGTCAGTCCCCGAACTGCATCCATTATGTTCAGTTGCTGATCAATTCCTCTATTTGCTGTGTGCCATAGAAAAGAATAGGAAAGGGTTGAGGGAGAGGCAGTGGGCGGGGGTCATGCAAATTCTACACCAGTGGAGAGAGCTAGGAACACTAGGATGTCTCTGGTGGAGGAAATACATAAAATCTAGGATGAGATGATCCCCATGTGAAAGCCTCCACTTGGGTGATGGGAAGTATTATGTTTGTGGAGGGCATTGGCAGGGCTCTTGCTCATGTTCATGGTACTCTCTATAACCTACAATGTCATTGGAAGGAGGGCCATTCGTAGGTCCTCATATTTGTGTGTGTGGGGGGGGGGGGTAATATTTGTTTGTGGAAGTGGGAGCCTGTCTGTGAAAGTGGGCACCCCAG